AGAAAACTGCTGCTGCTGCTGCTAAGTCGCTTCAGTGCGTCTGACTCTGTGCGACCCCATAGACGGCAGCCCACCAGGCTCCCCCATCCCTGGGATTCTCCAGGCAAGATCACTGGATTGGGTTGCCATTTCCTTCTCCAATGCATTAAAGTGAAAAGTGAAAGTGAAGTCGCTCGGTCGTGTCCCATTCTTAGCGACCCCGTGGACCGCAGCCTACCAGGCTCCTCCATCCATGGGATTTTCCAGGCAAGAGTACTGGAGTGGGGTGCCATTGCCTTCTCCGAAATATATACCTATGAGTAAATTAAAATGTGTACAGCCTTGACTCGGAACTGCTAGAGTGGCGCGGAGTATGACGGCTAGGAACGCCCCTTCGCCGCTCCGGGACTGCAGGAGCCGAGCGGCGCGGCCCTGGCGAGGCTTGGCCCTGTCGGCTTGCCGTCCGCCGCAGCCTCCGCCATTGGTTGGGCTCCAGGCATCTGACTCGGGCGGCAGGGCTAGTAGGGAGCTTCAAGGATGGCGGCGTCCGCGGCGCTGATCCTGCGGGAGAGCCCCAGGTAGCCCCGGCTGGGCGCGGGGGGACAGCGGTCACCGGGGTGACGCGGGCAGGGCCAGCCCAAGGATGCTGCTGCTGTCTGTCGCCGGGGCGCCGGGCCGGCGGAGTCGCTGCGGGGGCCCCGCGGGAATGCGGCACCGCGGGCCCCTGGGCGCCGCCGCCTGCACCGCGGTTCACTTGCGTGGGCTTTCAATGAGTCCGACAACTGAAGTCAGTGCGTCGGTGTCTGGTCACTGTCACTGTTCCCCGAGGCTGGTATCGCTGGTACCCAAGACATCCTGGAGTAGGTCTGAAATCACGTGAAGAGGCGTTACCTTTTCTTTTTCAATACTTTTTAGACTTTATGATTTTGAGAAAGACTCCCATTGATCCTGAGTGGTCATTAGTACTTAACACGTGTTATTACAGCTTTTCAATCAAGATCGAATAGGCCCCAGGCCAGGAGTTTTTTTGCTGGTAACAGCATCTGACCAGAATTTGGTAACATTGCTTTTGTTTTCACTTTATTTACCTTTTGTCCATTTATATATTTAGTTCATATCTATTCATGGTAGGTAAGGTCGGCGGTCTATAGTGGTGATATAAAGTTCTGTTTTAAAGTAAAATTTGGCAAAAATGATTCCATTTAATGAAAGATAAATAATAGTGCACGTAGTGTGTGGATGCAGAAAAATGCAGAAGTATCACTGAGTCTGGAGAATAACTTCTTTGTGCATAGTGTTAGTTGCTCAGTCGTGTCCGACTCTTTGCACCTCATGAACTGTAGCCCGCCAGCCTCCTCTGTCCATGGAATTCTCCAGGCAAGAATACTGGAGTGGGTTACCATTCCCTTCTCTTGGGATCTTCCCAAGAATCTGGGTCTCCTGTGTTGCGGGCAGATGCTTTACGGTCTGAGCCCCCAGGGAAGCCCATCTTGGGCATAGAAGGGACAAGAATCTTTTTGAAGAGAGTTGTCATTTTGAAGTTTTTCCTTCTTTGATTGCATTCTGACAGCCAATTGCTTTTTTCACACCAGTGTCCTGGGTAACACACCACATCAGTAAACCATATCCAGTGTGGTGTAGTAGAATTGTTCTTATTACATAATTTAAAGTTGGTTACAGTTTAAACAGGGTTTTAAAACAACTGTGCACTTCAGTATCAGTTCAATGGCTCAGTCGTGCCCGACTCTTTGCGACCTCATGAACCGCAGCACGCCAGGCCTCCCTGTCCATCACCAACTCATGGAGTCCACCCAAACCCATGTCCATTGAGTCGGTGATGCCATCCAACCATATTATCCTCTGTCGACCCCTTCTCCTCCTGCCCTCAATCTTTCCCAGCATCAGGGTCTTTTCCAATGAGTCAGCTCTTCGCATCAGGTGGCCAAAGTATTGGAGTTTCAGCTTCAGCATCAGTCCTTCCAGTGAACACCCAGGATTGATCTCCTTTAGGATGGACTGGTTGGACCTCCTTGCAGTCCAAGGGACTCTCAAGAGTCTTCTCCAACACCATTATATGTTAATGTCTTTTAAAATTCCATTATCTGCAATGCATCAGTCTTTTTATCTGTTTTTGGTGTAGCTGCCACTTCCCTCCCCCCACTCTTTTCAGAGTTCTGTTTTGAGTTACATGGATACATAAACTCCCACTCCTAAGTTGGTACTGTTCCCCACAGAGTGCAAACTTTCCCGAGTAGTTTGCCAGGCCCAGAAGAAATAGAAAATTTGCCAAATAGACCTTTTCAACAGACTTACTTTTGGGGTATCTTTTGCAAATGTCCTGTCTTCTTTGCTGGCCATCATCTGTTTTTCTTTATTTCACTCAGACTTACCTTTATAGCAATCAGTTGTTGAAATGAAAACTTACAACCAACCATACTTAGAGCAATGACAGTACCACTTGGGGAAAACATATTTTAAAACTTTGTTTTATGAATTTCTTTAGCATGAAAAAAGCAGTGTCCTTGATAAATGAAATAGATATAGGAAGATTTCCACGACTGCTCACCCGAATTCTTCAAAAACTTCACCTGAAGGTTTGTATGTTTGTAATTCTATCGCTTATAATTTGTTCTTATGATTCTACTGCAAATCCAGGTTTCCACTTGAATGACTTTTTGCAAGGTATTGTTCTCCAGCAATACTGGGGAACACTGAGTCTCCAGAAAATTTGATGAATAGCCTATGGTCAGAAGTTTGGGAAGTTCTGTTTTCATTCAAAACAATGTGTTTTTTTGTTTTGTTTTGTTATGGAACTTATCAGAGTATATTTTATGGTAGCATTAATAGTAAATATTTAAGGGTGACTATTGTATGCAGAATTTTCCATGTGTATTTTTTTTCCCATATGTATTTGACCATGGAATTGTTTTATCATGGTATTTATTTTGGGATTAAGATTCTGTGGAACATGCTTTGGGAAAATTCTGATGTTATGATTTCATTCTTCCTCTTAAAAATATTTCTGTAGTCTTTCTGTCAACCGGTATATAATCTTTCTCTTCCACTTTTATTTCAAGGTTGTGGTTATCTTGAAAGTATTGATAATTAGTAATTCACTACTTGGTCACCAATCTTAGTTAATTTCTTTATCAGGTTCTGGAAGAATTATGAATATCAGACATAAGAAATGCTTGATTCAAAAAATAAAAAAAAGAAATACTTGATTCATTACAAGAAACTAGTGTAATCCAAATGAATCTTTGAAATATAACTATTCACTCAGAGAAATAAAACCTGGAGCCTCTGGAGTGTGGTGTATTTGAAACATCACAATGAAACTTATACCTACATATACCTAAGTATATTGGCAATGGAGAAGAAAAAAGTTAAAGACTATTGATATGTCCTTTTTTTAAATTAAAATATAGTTAATCTACAATGTTATATTTCAAGCGTAAGGCAAAGTTGTTGATATATACATGTATTCTTTTTCAGATTATTTTTCATTATAGGTTATTATAAGATGTTGAGTATAGTACTTTGTGCTATGCAGTAGATCCTTGTTGTTTATCTGTTTTATATGTAGTAGTATGTGTATGTTAATCCCCAAATCCTAATTTATCTCCCTCCACATCCCCATTTGATAACTATAAATTTTTTTTCTATGTTTTGGTATAGTTTTCCTTAAAACTATTTCAGAAACATAGGACTTCCCTATAGCTCAAATAGTAAAGAATCTGCCTGCAATGCAGGAGACCAGGGTTCGATTCCTGGGTTGGGAAGATCCTCTGGAGAGGGTTATGGCAATCTACTCCAGTATTCTTGCCTGGAGAATCCCGTGGACAGAGGAGCCTGGCGGGCTACAGTCTGTGGGGTCGCAACGAGTTGGACATGATTGAGCAACCAACACACAGTGCAATCTGGTGTCCTTTGTTTACAAGTCTAGAATGGGTGCCATACATTTCAGAAAGATTGCTTTTAAAACTTTAAAAGTTATTTGATAGGTTGACTTGTGGGTGCTGTCATATTTCCCCATTATGATAGAGAGGTCTTGTTAGATTAACATAAAGGACAATCACAGGTGTAAACCCCAGCATGTAGAAATGTGTGAGGATTTCTGTTGTTGTTACAATGTGTTTAGGGTGCTGCTGGTGTTTAATGCCCCGAGACGTTAAATGTATTAATGATGTGCAGCACAGTCCTGTACAAAGAAGAATTGACCCCATCTCTGAACAAAAAAAAGAAAAAGCATAGCTTATCTCTGAAAAAGCATTTATTTTGTACTTAATATAAGCTGGAGGACTTCTTACAACTTAAGTTTATCAGGTTAAAATTATATATGTACACTAAATTATGACGTATGCAGACTACTAGTATCATATGTTTTTCCTCGGTGATGGTGTGTGTGTATGCCTGTGTATGAAAAGCAGAGCTTGAATTTTGGACCAAAGGCCTCTCTTCTCTCTAAAGCCATGCTCTGAGTTGAAAATGAAAGTGAAAGTCACTCAGTCAGGTCTGACTCTGCGACTTCATGGAATTTTCCAGGTCAGAATACTGGAGTGGGTAGCTGTCCCTTCTCCAGGAGATCTTCACAACCCAGAGATCGAACCCGGGTTTCCCGCATTGCAGGCAGATTCTTTACCAGCTGAACCACCAGGGAAGCAATTGCCTTTATAATTAGTTCAATAATATTCTGCCTTCATAGAGTAGAAATTCTCTGTAAGTTTCTGAGGAATGTGACCTGATTTTAACTATATGTGGAACTGAGATTAGTTCACCCATTATGCATGTTAAGAAAATGAATTCTTCAAAAAAAAAAAAGAAAAATGTTGAAAGAATGGATTTTTTTGATTTGCTCTTTTTGTGCCTTTGAAGTTCAAAATAGAGTGCTTAAGTTGTTTTAATAACATTTATGTTTTAATAACATAAACTATTTCACAAATAGTTTGAGTGTTTGGTTTAAGACATCTAAACAGTGTGGACGAACTGAAATGCCCTCTTGATTAACTTTTGCTTCTTTCTCCACCTTGGTTCTTTGCTGTGTTAGTTATCTATTGCTGAATTTCAAATTTCCCCCAAATTTAGCAGCTTAAAACAACAATAATCATTTATTGTCTCCCACACCTCCTCTAAGTAAAGGATTTAGCAGTGGCTTGGCCGGGTGGCTCTGACTTGGGGCTCTCATGACATTGCTACCAGCTTCTGGTGGAGACAGTTGTTACCTGAAGTGTTGACTGGGCTTGGAGGACTTCCTTCTAACATGGCTAGCTGGTGGCAGCTGTGGTTCCTTGTCCCGTGGGCCTGTGCTCCTGACACGGGTCGGGGTTGGCTTCTTCTAGAATGAGTGGTCCAGGAGAGGACGGTGCTGTCCTTTTTATGACCTAACCTTGAATATCACATAACTTCATTTTCACTATATTCTTCTTCTTAAAAGTAAGTCAGTTAGTCTGACTCATATTCAAGGAAGAGGAACTTAGGCTTCCGTCTTTTGAATGGAGGTGTGTTAAAGAATCTGCAGACATGAGAAAACCATCACACCTCCCTCGAAGCTATCTTTGTTGTCGATTTGATTTTTATCTTTCCAGGTCTTTTTTCAAGTATTAGTAAATACAGATGTGCCCACGTATGTGCATGCATATACACACAGAACTGTTTGGTTTGTAAATAAATGTTTTCATAAGTGGCATTGTACTGTGTGTATTGCCCTACTGTTTACCTTTTCCACTTATCACTTTTACCAGAAATCTTTCCTTGTCAGTCCATATAGTGCTTATTCTTTTGAAGTATTGGTTTTCCTTTTTACCTGTATATGTCTATATATGTTTATGTGTGCTGTGCTTAGTTGCTCAGTTATGTCCAACTCTTTGCAACCCCACCAACTGTAGCCCACCAGGCTCCTCTGTTCATGGGATTCTCCAAACAAGAATACTTGAGTGGGTTGCCATTCCCTTCTCCAGAGAATCTTCCCAGCTCAGGGATCAAACCCAGTTCTCTTGCATTGCAAGCAGATTCTTTACCGTATAAGCTACAGGGAAGTTCTATGTTCTGTGTTTATGGGATATACTTTTTAAATATATAGAAAAATTAACATCCACTTTCCATTAAAAATTTAAGTTTCTTAGACCCTTGATCTCTGATTTTATAAACCTGGGCCTTAAATTTTCTCCCATTGAGAGGATAAAAATGAATATATCTCTTTAACTTTTTCAGTGCCCAGATATGTGTGGGTTACTTTTGGTATAGAGGAAGAAGTTAACTGGCTGCTGTTTGGAAGCAAATGCCATGACTTACATTTAACATTTATCTGCCCGGGGTTGTTGTCAGATCAAGATGTTGAATATGTGTTTGGAACTTTGTTTTGTAGCTGTATTCTGCATTTGTTGTTCTGTTCACATATTGATGCTGGGAGGGATTGGGGGCAGGAGGAGAAGGGGACAACAGAGGATGAGATGGCTGGATGGCGTTGCTGACTCGATGGACATGAGTTTGGGTGAACTCTGGGAATTGGTGATGGACAGGGAGGCCTAGTGTGCTGCCATTCATGGAGTCGCAAAGAGTCGGACACGACTGAGCGACTGAACTGAACTGAACTGAACCTTATTTTAAGGGTGCATGTCTCATGTACTAGCAGTTGGGGGGAGATAAATGTTCCCTTGCTCCCCTTCACTCCAAACCACTTTATTAATATAATGCTTCTGAAGATCTTGAGAATGTCCCTTTTTTGCCCTCTTTTTGAAAAATCTCCCTTTCTTGTACATCTGAGGACACTGAAGTTTATTTTTCCATGTGCCCAGTCACTGTCTTTATTTTGTCAAAAACACCTCATTAGGTGTATGTTAAAAGGAATCAGTTTGACACACTTGGAAGTTAGATTGTACATATCCATTGAATTTAATGCAACATGTGGTTCAGTGATTATATGTGAGTAATACTGTTATTCTGTTCCTTATATTGATAAAACTCTGGTACTGTAGGTCATTATTTTAAGGAGGTATGTCTTCTTAAAGAAGGTAGTCACAGAAACTCTGGAACTTTAAAATCAAAACATTGGTCTTGAGGTAAGTGACTGACATTTTAGCCAAATTGTGTTCATGCTCTTCTTAGTCAGAAAATAGGTAGTAGAGACTAGAGTTCCGAAAGACTGACCTCCCTAAACCAAAAATGTGGCAGTTCTGAGCTGCAGTTCTAAACTTAGACTTCTAAGCTTCACCTCATTGCTGCTTCACTACATGAATGCAGTTGTAAAATTGTATCTCATCCTAAGCCATCAAGGCAGGGACTCATGATACTTCTGAAACTTCTCCATGTAGCTACTGGGGAGAGGCAGCAACTGGGAAAGTTGTTTGGTATGTGGGGATAAAGTATTTTTATTTGAAAGCAGTTCTAATAGTGTACATTTTTCATGCTTGAAAAACCGATCTTTGGATCAAGGAGATTATTTTGGAAATGTAAGAAAGACTAGCCACGAGGTTGTACTCAGATGACTCACTTCTGTTTTTCACATATTGCTTATGAAAGTAATGTGTGTAATGTGTAAGTTTTGGAAAATATTAAAATTATCAACAAGATTTCTTGATTTATGTGTACTCTTATAGTAACCCATACTTTTGCAGAACTTATTAAAATGGAAATTATTGGAATAGTTGTTTGTAAGGTCTTTCTAACTAGAGAATAGTATACCCGAGGGCACGAACCATCTGTGTAGCACATAGAAAATACTCAGTAAATGTGTTTTGCTGTTCAGTTGCTAAGGCATATCCAGCTCTGCGACCCCATGGACTGCAGCATGCCAGGCTTCCCTGTCCTATTTGTTTGTTTTACTTGCTTGTATTTCTGTGGTAACAGTTGTGATTTCTCTCTTTGATTTCTTATGTTGTTTATTTGGGTCTTCTCTCTGTTCTTGGTGAGCCTGGCCAGAGGTTTGTAAATCTTGTTTACCCTTTCAAAGAACCAACTCTTGGTTTTATTGATTTTTTTTTCTATTTAAAAAAAAAATTTCTTATTTATTTTCTCTCTGATCTTTATTAGGTCCTTACTTCTGCTGACTTTACATTTTGTTCTTCTTTTGCTAATTCTTTTAGGTGGTGGTTTAGGTTGTTTATTTGAAAGTTTTCTTGTTTCTTAAAGGCCTGTATCACTGTGAACTTCTATCCAAGAACTGCTTTTGCTGCATCCCGTAATCCGTTGACTTTTAACAAAATAATACTAAGGCTCCAACTAGTTGCCACCTCTCTATCTGATGGGAATCTTGGTGCTAGGTAATGGAGGATGTAGATAAAGGTTCTTAAGGTTAACGGATTTTATCTCTTTAATCCTACCTCTTATAAACGCTGACAGGGGCTTAATGCTGGGTCAGGTCATATATTGGGAGAGGTTTTGGAGTGAGTTCAGGGGAGAAAAGAAAGAGCTAACAAGGGAAAGGAACTCCCACGTATTTTCTATCTTAAAATGCTATTCTCTTAAGAAGATTTTGCTTGGACTCTTAGAAAAGTTGCTGGGACCCATTATAATTGGTTAGTATTATTACAGAGAAGGTGCTCTCCCCCACAATGTTTTATTTATTTTTTAAAAGATTTTATTTTATATTGGAGTATAGTTGATTTATAGTGTTACAAGTGAGTGATGAAGGTGAAAGAGGAGAGTGAAAAAGCTGGCTTAAAACTCAGCATTCAAAAAACTGATATCATGGCATCCAGCCCCATCACTTCACAGCAAATAGATGGGGAAAAAATGAGAATAGTGACAGACTTTATTTTCGTGGGCTCCAGAATCACTGCAAATGGTGACTGCAGCCATGAAATTAAAAGACTTGCTCCTTGGAAGAAAAGCTATGATCAACCTAGATAGCATATTAAAAAGCATAGACATCAATTTGCTGACTAAAGTCCATCTAGTCAAAGCTATAGTTTTTCCAGTAGTCTAGTAGTCATGTACGGATGTGAGAGTTGGATCATAAAGAAGGCTGAGCACCAAAGAATTGATGCTTTTGAAGTGTGGTGCTGGAGAAGACTCTTGAGAGTCCTTTGGATAACAAGGAGATCAAAGCAGTCAATCCTAAAGGAAATCAGTCCTGAATATTCATTGGAAGGGCTGATGCTGAAGCTGAAACTCCAATACTTTGGCCATCTGATGTGAAGAGCTGACTCATTGGGGAAAACCCTGATACTGGGAAAGACTGAAGGCAGGAGGAGAAGGGGGTGATAGAGGATGAGATGGCTGGATGGCATCATCGATGCAATGGACGTGAGTTTGGGCAAACTCCGGGAGATGGTGAAGGACAGAGAAGCCTGGCATGCTGCAGTCCATGTGGTGGCAAACTTGACACAACTTAGCCACTGAACAACAGTAAATTCTTAACATTTTAGGGCTTTACTTTGTAGTATTGTGTTTTCTAAATGTCCATTTTTTATGTTATTATTTTCCACCTCCTATATATCATAGAACTTAAGATTTAAAAAAAAAATGAAATTTTGTTTGGCAAGATCCAAATAATGAACTGTTATGTGATTTTAAGATATTGAAATTTACAGGCACATCAGTTTGTTTTAATGATGGATTTACTTTTTTCTTTCAAGTTCTCATTTTCATATGAATAAATGAATCTTCTGTTGAGTATCTGAATTTTGAATACCTGAATGTATGTTAATAGGTTGCTTTTTGTGTTGTAGGCTGAAAATAGTTTCAGCGAAGAAGAGGAAGAAAAACTTCAAGTTGCATTTTCTCTAGAGAAACAAGATCTTCACCTAGTTCTTGAAACAATATCATTCATTTTAGAACAGGTATTTTTATTGCCGCAAAATAGCCTAACCATGATTTTTGTTTACTACATGTTTGCATTGCTGTGACATCTATAGCATTTTAGCTTATTTTTCTAAAGTGTACAGGTAAAGGCTGTGAATATGTTTTATCAAAAATTTTGATGTGGTAAAAAAGTATTTGAATGTGTGGTTTTTTCTCATGGTATTGCATTCTATAACAGTCTTAGTGTTGAATAGCATGAGTAAAGTATTAATATTTGACATTATGAATCAAGACTTCACTGACTTGAGACAGTTGAAAAAGATTTAAATTTATTGTTACTTGGTATAGTAATTTGGAAAAATGCACACATTTTATTTAAGAAATTTAATAATTGATTTTGAGAATTTATTTGACTAGGATGATAAATAAAACATTTAGAAAAGAAATAGTTGTCAAAGGACATTTTGTTATAGTCTTTCTTCCTACTGAGCTGCCCTTCTGCATCCCTTTTTTACATCTAAATTCAGTTCATTGTTTAAGTTCCCTTCAGATCACATCTCCTCCCACTGCAGCCTGGACCCGTTATACTCACAGTCCTCCCCTTATTTGGATTCCTTTTATGCTTGGCTCATCATGGTTGAGCCCATTGTTAGTCTTTTCATTATTTCATGTATATCAGTTACATCTCCTTCACTAGGTTTTGAATTTGTAGGGGGCTAGGATCACATTTTTGGTGCATTGTAGCACATTGCTAGGCTAAATCTATTAAGAATCTAGAAGCAGATTCTTAATAAATTCCTGTTGTTTGATTAAGTAGAAGAATACTTGTGAAATAAAAATTTAAACAGTACTGCAGCTTTTGGGCATTTTGGGACAAAATGCTAGGCTCTACTACATGCAGACTTACACAGTTAACAGATCATAAAGATGACTATGTTCTTGTCCTTGGTGGACCTTCTGTAGAAGAAAAGGATAACCAGACAGGACAGAACAGCATGGGGTTTATGAGAAAATTGTTTCATCAAAATGTAAAAAATAGAACAGGTATCACTGTAAAAAAAAGTTTTCAGTTTTTTTTTATGTATTTACCTAGGAAGTTGGTAGATGAAGATGGTTTTGAGAAAGTGTTTCTTGGAAGAATTGTGTTAGTTGGGGAACAAAACCACTGTGTACTTATTTTGAAATAATTAAGTGAAATAAGGAAATTAAATTTTAATTAGGATACCATTTACATAACCGGAGCAAGGAAGTTGATAAGTAGATTTAATATTACTTAAACCACAGACAAAAATGAAGTTTAGCGTGAATAATTTGGGCCCTTTAATTCTGAATTTTCCACCCTTGGTTGTGTATATTGTTATTTGTAAAATAATAAAAAATTTATGCAATAGAAATATAAAATTTTTAAAAATTTAAATCATTTGAAGTAATGTCATATTTAATTACAGCTCAAGGTCTCTGTGTGAACATTAGGGATATATGTGGCTTTTTTCCTCTTTACTAGGCAGTGTATCACAACGTGAAGCCGGCCGCTTTGCAGCAGCAGTTGGAGAACATTCATCTTAGACAAGACAAAGCAGAAGCTTTTGCCAGTGCTTGGTCTTCTATGGGTCAAGAAACAATTGAAAAATTCAGGCAGAGGATTCTTGCTCCCCACAAGGTACAGGCTGTATTGCTCAAAGGATATTTTTCAGTAATGTATGGCATAAATTATTTTACCTAGAAGTTTTTAAAGTGATAATTTTTGTAAAGAGGTAAATCAGGCAGTAGAAAGTATGTATATGATATTCCTATAAAAGTATTTCCATGCATATTTGCTTGCTTTCCATGCATAATTTTAATTGCTAATTTCAAATAGGCTTCTGTAACTTTAGGATAGGAATGAGACCTTTTTTCCTTCTGAGTCCTTGGTCAGAGTTGGTTATTCTGTTAACTGTGTATCTTATGTATAAGACTTACTGTAATTTTTAAAACTATTTATTTATTTATTCGACTGTGCCAGGTCTTAGTTGCAGCATGCAAACTGTTAGTTGCCGCATGTGGGATCTAGTTCCCAGACCAGGGATCATACCGGGGCCCCCTTATTTGAGGGCTTAGAGTCTTAGCCTCTGGACCACCAGAGAAGTCTCTGACTTACTATAATTTTTTACTGAATCACATGCTTATTTGTTTTTGTGTGTTGGTATTAGGGCCTAGCAGAATGCCTTGTATGCAGAAAGTGCTCAGCATTTGTTGAATAGCAAATAGTAAGCAAAATGAACTCTTTGGGAAAAATATAAAATAATAGCAGTATCACAAAGCTCCTTAATAACCTCTGTGTGTGTGTGTGCTAAGTCGCTTCAGTCGTGTCTGACTTTTGTGACGCTATGAACCGTAGCCTACCAACCTCCTCTGTCCATGGGATTCTTCAGGCAAGAATACTGGAGTGTGTTCGTATTCCTCCTCTAGGGGATCTTCCTGACCCTGGAATCAAACCAGCATCTCTTAAGTCTCCTGCATTGGCAGGCAGGCTCTTTACCCCAGCACCACCTGGGAAACTCCAAGTTACTCTTAATGGAGATTAAGATGATCATACAGATTTTGCCCCTTTTTCTATTAATATGTTGTTTTACATAATTGATTTTCAGATTTTCAACCATCTTTGTATTTTGGGGATAAATTTAACTTGGTTTTGGTATATAATCCTGGTTGTATATTGCTGTATTTGCTTTACTAATATTTTGATAAAGATCTATGTTCATGCAGGATATCGGTCTGTAGTTTCCCTGTGATGTCTTTTTTGGCATCTGGTTAATACTGACCTCACAAAGTGAGTTCCCCTCTCTTTTGTTTTCTGAAATTATTTGTGAAGGTTTGGTATTAGTTTGCATTTTCACCAACATTAAATGAGAGTTCCAGTAGTTCCAAATTCTTGTTGGCATTTGATATCATCAGTTTGTATTAAAGCTATTCAATTAGGTTTGTAATGGTGTCTTGTGTTTTTAATTTATATATCCCTAGTAACAAATTATGACGATGATCTTTTTATGTACTTACTTGTCTTCCATAGAGCTTCTTTGGTAAAGTGTCTGTTCAGATCTTTTATGTAACTGTATTTCCACATTAATGACAGATAAAGAATCATAGTAATATAAATATAAAGGACAATTATAAGTGTAAATCCCAGCATATCAGAATGCATGGGTTTTGGTTTTGTTCTTGGTTTTTTGGGTGTTACAATTTGTAGAGGGTGTTTGGTTTCTTTCTGTTGAGTTTGGTGAATTTTTAAGTCCTCTGTCAGATATGTAATTTGCAGTTATCGTCTCCTAGTCTATAGCTTTCCTTTTCAGTTTCTAATAGTATCTTTTGCAAAGTAAAAGCTTTAAAATCTGATGAAGTTTGATTTATCACTTTTTTCTTTTATTAATACTGCTTCTGGTTTTGGATCTAAGAGTTTATAGCATAATGCAGTGTCACAAAAATTTTCTCTTTTTATTTCTTCTAAGTGTTTTATAGTGTTTCTAAGTGTTTCTTCAAAGTGTTTTGTGTTTTACATTCAAGTCTAATACCCATTTTGAGTTAATTTTTTGTAGGATATGAGGTATAGGTCCAAGTTCTTATAGTTTTTCTGATATGAATGTTTCATTTGTTTCAGTGCAATTATTGATAACATTCTTTTGTTATTGAATTGCCTTAACTCCTTTGTCAAAAATCATTTGACATATTTGTATGTCTCTTTCTGGATTCTTTTTGATTTCATTGATATATTTGTCTGTCTTTATGCTGGTATCATGCTGCCGTAATTACTATAGCTTTGTTGTAAGTCTTAAAATCAAGTATTGTTAATCTGCTAACTTTATTCCTTTTAATAATTGTTTCGGGTATTCTAGTTTCTTTACCTTTTAGTGAAAACCTTTAAAAAAAAAATCTACAAAAAACCCTTTGGAATTTTGATTGAGATTATGTTTAATTTATAGATCACTTTGTAGAGAAATGACTTCTTAACAGTATTGAGTATATCTCCATTGTTGTTAGAGTTGAACACTCTTGACCTTTTTTTTCCCCCCTCTGGAGTTGTTGTAAATGGTACTGATTTAAAAATTTGGGTTTCCATTGTTTATTGATAGTATATAGAAACACAGTTAATTTTTGTATATTGTTATTGTATTCAAGACCTTGGTAAACTTACTATTTAGTTATAGCAGTTTTCTTAGTTGTTTTCCTTGTGATTTTCTCTACAGTCAGATTGTCCATGAAGAGAGAGTTTTATTTCTTCCTTTCCTGTTTGTCCAGCTTTTGTGTTTCTTCCCTACTGCACTGACTAGGACTTCTGGCATGATGTTGAATAGGATTGGTAACTTTGTACTTTGTTGTGCTCTGTTTGTGGTTTTAGAGAGAAGGCATTGCCTGTGTCACCATAAGTAACACACTAGCTGTGGGTTTTTACAAAATGTCCCTGTGTTGTTTTCATTCCTTTCCTTTTATTTTTTTGACTTATGCATTCAAGAGCTCTCAAGAAGGATGTGAAACTCCATATCACTGCTTCATTTTTCATCATTTAAATTTCTGCTTTCTCCTATCCTATTTTAAAGGTTTATCCAGATTTTGTTTTCCATTCTTTGTTCCTGAAATTATTTTTAAACATCTTCATTAAAAAAAAAAAACTCCACTTGCCTTTCAATATTTTCCTGTTTTATATTTATATAATTTTCTTCTGTTTTTATTTCTTGTATTTGTATAAGTACAGTATACTTGTATAGTTAAAAGTGTTTTTTTTCTCTTCTTTTTTGTTTATTTTTAGTTTTTACAAAACCTTGTGTCAAGGGCTGACTTTAAATAGATCACAGTGAGGGAGCTGCTGACCTAGGTATGAAACCCTGACCTAGAAGCAGGTCAGCTACAGATGGCTTAGCACCAAGTGGCCCATGAATGCGTGGTGTGCGATGGGCCAGGGGGTGGCCACCTTTCTGGCCATGCCGTGTGTCCCACGGCAGAGGGCCGTCCACACCAGACCCCGGTCCCGACGTGTGGTGTGGCACGGTGTGCCCCGAGGGATGCTGGGTGTGGAGACCGGCTTGCTTAGGGTGACTGAGGCTCCCAGGGTGCAGCCATATCAATTGACCTGGGGTCGGATTCTGACCTCGAAGTGATCAGAATCCTACAGATGGTGGCTTCCCCCTATTGGCTCTTCAGCCAAGTGCATAGGCCAAATGTCTGAACCTGTGGTTCCTCTCCTACAGAGCAGGGTTACCATGGCAACAGCACATCATTAGTAGAGTAAAATTTACCTATCTCATAGCAGTCTAAGCCCAACTCACATTCCATGTTAGTGAGTGAACAATCCAACACTTGGTGAATCCTGCCTCTCAGTGATAGGAAGAGCTGACAAGGATCAAAAAGTGACATTGCTGTGAATGCTTAGCCACCACAAGCCAGTTATCCCTGTGTTAGCTTTTCTGACACTTCCTGCTTAAAACCCCAAAGGTCAGAAGGATCGTGAGGCCCCGCTTTCACGGTCTGTATTCGTACTGAAAATCAAGATCAAGTGAGCTTTTGCCCTTTCAGGGGAGGTTTCTGTCCTCCCTGAGCTCATCTTAGGACTCCTTTTTTCACTTCCAATAGTATGTCATTGTCTAATACCTTCTGGATGATAGTTTGTTACTCTTTTAAAGAATAATATTTCTTCCCCATGTGATGTTGCATTGCATTAACTTCTGTCTTAAGAAGTGATTTTATCAGTTGTCATACAAAATATGCAAAAAAAATAGTTGGAAGAAAAAAATAATTGTACGTTAGTCCCTGAAAGTGTAGAAAATTACCTTTTGCCAATACAGAGTATATGAGAGGATAGCTAATATCAATGCATTATTTTAATGCCTTCAGTGCTTAATTAAGATTGTATAATAATAGCAAACGTCTCTTGTGTTTATTGTGGGCCAAATATTCTACTCAGTGCTTTGTAGTAATAGCTTGTAAAACTCATTAATAGTTTTATTTCATATTTAAAATTAAACTGAAACTTATATTAAATAACTGATCCGTGGTCATGCTGCTAAATAAGTGGTAGAGTTGGGATTTGACAAAGTAGTTAACATTTCTAAACCACCGTGCTAGTCTCCCACCTAGATGTTAGCAGCAGAATTTTTCTGTCAGGCATTATGCACAGTGGTTTACGTAGTAGGTGTGTGTTTTGTATTTTTGAAAAAGAAATAAAACTTGAAAGTGTGCCTTAACTGTGTTAACCCAAGTGGTCCATGGCGAAGCTGAGATGGTAATCAGATTGGTCCCTCTCTTAATTAAGCCTTGTTCTTTTTATGTCACAGCATCTCTTGCAGCTATAATGTTATCTTTTTTTTTTTTTTTTTGCCCTGATGACTATTTAGGATATGGTGACTAAAATAGCCATGGGTGAAAATAAATCATGTCATTTAAATTATAACAAAAATATATGGCAGTAGTTAATAGTGGGCAAATGTATTTACAGAGACTGACTGTTGTTTTACAGTAATTTAGAGGTTCTCATGAACTGTCTGTGCCATGTTTGCAGTGGAACATCTGTGTAAGTAATTATCAATTCAGAGAGAGTCAGATTCAATTAAATAACAAGCTAAAAAATCAAAAAGCTTATTTTTAATTCAATTTTTAAAAATACCTCTTTTCATCTTCTGTTACTTAGATCTA